GTGCACAAATCTGCCTTATGCCCCTTCATTATGGATTCTGACCTTTTTGCAGCTTTATGGGTAAAATAACAGTTGGAGGTTCATGCACTGCCTGCTGGCATCCCATCTGACGTTAGAAAATAAAAATGAGAAGAAAATGGCCACTGCACCGACAATATATTTATAAATATAACTACAAATCAGCATATTAGAATGACTTCTGTCAGGATCATGTGACAGAAGGATCATGTGACACTTAAAACTGGAATAATGGCTGCTGAATATTTTTGAACGATTTGCCATATCAAGAATACTTTTTACTAAATATATTCAAAAATAGAAAATAGTTCTTAGTAATAACCGCCTTAGTAATAAAAAAAAAAATCCCAATTCCACCCAACCAGTAATTAAAATCACAAATGTTAATAATTGTATTTTTCTAAACAAATGTTTGAGTTACCCCAATTTAAACCGCATCAAAGACAAAGAATAAATGCCAACTACCAAAGAATAACTTCCAGTCTGGTACTAATCACACTGGTGGACTGGTGAAAACCAACAATGAGCAGGCCCAGGTAAACATGGGTATAGGCCGCTCTAGTATGGCACACCGACAGGGATAACAGCACACCGGCTGGCGCAGATCACAGTGCCCCCGGGTGTAAGAGGCAGATCAGACAGAGAGCTTGTGTTTGGCTTCTGAGCTCATGGCCAGGATGAGCTCTTTGGGTCATGAGTGAAAGCAGATGTGGGAAGCAGGTTCAATAAGCATGAATCATCATTCAGGTACAACTGTGACTCTGCTTTTTCAGATTTAGCAAAACTGACTTAAGAGTTTAGCCAAATACAGATGGAGCATTACATAGTTTCTGGAATGATGATGCAGTGGCCAACTTCATGATAGAAAGTAATGACCATACACAAACAGAACACACTGTTCTATGAAACCAAGGGGATCTATCTGAATAATCAGTTATTTGTAAAGCACAATACTTGCGGTCACAAAGCAATGTGACAAATTGTCTCACAGCCCTCAAGTGAGAAAGCCAAAGGTGAGCAGCAATGGGGGGGTAATGTTTAAGTAGGACGAGAAATAAATCTGATTAAAACCAGAGAAACTGCATTTCAGTAAAAAAAGGTCCAATATTACATGCTAATATATCTTGATTTGATTTAAAAATCCAACCACAGAATATTCATGATAATACTAACTAATTAAACAACTAAGGTGCATACATCTCCGTCAAAAGCTGGTTATTGGTCTGTTGACTCTTAGTGCAATGTGGTTTCATGAAAAGCATTTACGCACTTCAGTTGTTTAATTAGTCAGTATTATCATGATTTTTTTTTTTTTTTTACATATGTTATACTTAAATGGTTATCCTTCTTAATGTACAGTCTGCTGATAAATTGCAATATTTATCGTGGAGATACATTTTTTAAAAATCATTTCAGCACATCAGTTTCCAATTACACCAGTGGTTTCCAAATGGGGTTCTCAAGATAATTCAAAATGATTTAAAATAAAACAAGCATTATTATTAGCCTAAAAACACAGATACAGACAACATATTTCTTATTTTCTTATTCACCCCATTAATAATTTTTATTACAATTTCATACATTTTACGAATATACATTTTTCTAGTTATGCCAAGCTCTAAAATGCAAAAATAGCCTACATCTTTCCCTTTTATCCTTTTCCGGTAAATCACAAACACGAAAAGTCATGAGGCCTATTGTTGTGGACAATGGGGGGGGGGTCTTCGAGTCAAAAAGGTTAAGAACCACTGCATTACACTAATGTGCTAACGCTAATTATTTAAATTGGCCATCTAAGACAATACCTCATGACTGACATGTCAAAACTGCTGTTGTATGTGCCTGTGTGAAAGTCAAGCTAAATGAAAGTTTCATGATGATAACAGTACAGGGAATATGAACCTGCCTGTATGCAAGCATGAATGCCCAGTTATTACCATTACGCTTGCCTGATGGGGAAAATGGAGCATGGAATATGACTATGCCATCCAAGGATTTGCTAAGCATATATATATATATATATATAGCCCGCAAATTGTCTGTGAGCTGATTTCCAGCTACAAGGAGAAAAAGAAAAACAGATTATGCAGGAGGGCAGGAGGGGGAACAGGGATTGGGTGTTCTGCAAAGAGAGTTGGAGGTAAATAATTTTGCAGTAACTGTTATGCTGATGTTGTGGCTGGTCAAGCAAATGTTTGTGCTTGTTTCTGTATAGGGAGATGCATGGAACAGGGATTGGGTGTTCTGCAAAGAGAGTTGGAGGTAAATAATTTTGCAGTAACGGTTATGCTGATGTTGTGGCTGGTCAAGCAAATGTTTGTGCTTGTTTCTGTATGATATAATTGTTCATATATCTATTAAAATACTGATATTCTGGTTTATAACTTCCCTCTTCCCTATATCTTGGTCTCTCATTGGCTGTAGGTCATCGCCGATGTAGTTTTCAGTCAGAAATAATTTCACACAGCGTGATTGTGAATCGCCGACAGCTCCAGATATTTATCATGCCAAATATTTCGCGGGCATCAGCGACGCATCGGCGATTCCCTCACATCGCGTCTTTGATAATTCACACTGCATGATTGTCACTCGCGTGAACGAGCACCGATTTGCCTCCGATGTCGGGCATTTGTCAGCGATTTCACAAAACCTGTCGGCGAGTGAAAAATCAGGTTAAAATCATGCAGTGTGAACTCGGCATAACTCTACAATACCAGGCCCATCTACAATGCAGGGAACACACAAAGCTAAATATATACAGTCATGATGAGATATGCTATATCTACACAGCATCACATTAAACAGCACAGCAATGATAGCTGAAGATGAATCACGTGATCATCCTGAACACTGAAAAACACGATTTTTGCCCCGATTTCCCACCGTTTTACAGTCTGGAGAAGCTGACACTAGTTGCCGAAAGTCAGAGCCGGTCTGCAGATTTGAGTTGACAGATTCCATAGAAAAAATCACGTAGTGTATGATGGTCACAGACTCAGGACGTTTTCAGGCTTAAGATTATGATTTCATCCAGTCGGAGGAGATCAAACATGTTTGATATTTTCTGTCAATTTTAGAACACATGTTGTTTTCATTTGTCAAGTGTCTCCTAGTAACAGGGCACATTTTCATGTGCTTAAAGTGGGGGGTCTAATGCCATTTCATGCATTCTGACTTATTTACACTGTTAAAGAGTTGGATTCTCATGCTAAACATGGACAAAGTTTCAAAAAACGATTTGGCCAAAGACACTCCCTCAGGATTCGTATTAGTGTCGGAAAGTTTTTTTTTTATTTTATTTTTATTTATTTTTTTTGAGTATGGCCCTGCAACGGAGTTTCGCAAGCGTGTTTGTTTGTTCCCGTCATTTCAGTGACAAATGTTTTATAAACAAGGCCCAGTTCAACGCTGGATTTGCACATCATTTGATAGCGAAAGATGGAGTGGTACAAAAACATCAATCTCAGAATAACAGAAAGTATAAAGATCTGATTTCTCTCTATTTTCTTAGAAAACAGTGAAGGTAGTGTCTGTTTGTGTGTAGGAGTACTGAGGCTCTCTGCCTTGTGGTTAGCATACGCTTTTCCAAAATGATCTTGGAACGCTTTAGAATTTTATGCCTAATAAAAAAAATATATATATTCCCAAAGATTTCAGACTCAGAATCACTGTTCGCTGTCATGGATTGGGGCATGAAAAAGCTCTCAGAGGTCATAGGGCAATTAAGAACATCACAGACAATCTGTGAACAGCCCATTCACAGAGCTCACACCTACATGTGTGCTAAATAGCCATGAAACACCTTGTGGTATGCGTCTTTCCAATTACACGGTAAGATTAATAGTATTAACAGAAAGACAACATTTCACAATCTTTCAATGACTTCATCCCCCCTAATGTCACATCGGGCATACAGGCTATTGGATAATGTTCACCAACAGCCCAACAATGATCATTTTAAGCATAATTTTTGCAACCTACATTCAGGTCTCACGCCATTTTGGTTTGTAAAACTCACTTTTTATGGTCCAATGAATTCCTGATGGATTAAAATCAAGACCTACAATTTTTTCATTGAATATCCTCTACCACTAGAAAACATAAAAAGTCTTGAAGCTAAACTGTTTACCAATAACAAGTCAATTTGACTTTAATGTGTTTGGTACGTAAATCTTAACATATCAGTTATATGAGTACCATGCAGTTAAATTGTTTTGATGACATGATGAGCATTTAAACCAGTACAGGAAAGCAGTTCAGTTTGTTTTCTGAATAAATCATCACAGTAACGACAATATACCACCTATTCCAGGGGTTCTCAACTGTAACCCTCAAGGTCCACCTCTCTGCAGAGTTTCTGCTACGCTCCATTTGCCTCGGATGTCAGAACTGGAAATGATGTCACAACCGAGTTGACAATGTTCCAGTACACAAGTTTGAAAACCAAGATGGACGTGTCCATTAATAGCCATACCAGTCGATAAAAACACATTAAAAGATGGTATTTTGTACAGATAGCATCAAAGTATCATGTCCACGGATAGAGGTTGGGCAGAACTGTGTGCACCATTTAGTTTATTTAGACACAGACAAACAGAAATGCAATATATTACTACGGTTTCACTTCTGTTGATGCTCTGAGAAGCCATACTGGATTCTTAAGTCAGAATTGTTACAAAAATTCCAAATTGAGGGGGCATTTCAGTTAAAAGTTCCTACTGGGGACTCGGAATTTCCGACTTCCAAGTACAAATGGAATGCACCAGTAGCTCTGACCTTGATCAAACTCATCTGCCAATAACTTTCTAGTAATCCTGAAGACCTTGATTAGCTTGTTCAGGTGTGTTTGATTAGTATTGGAGCTAAACTCTGCAGGAAAGTGGACCTCGAGGGCCACGGTTGAGAAGCCCTGACCTATACACACAAGCATGAAAACACATGGAGTTGTTGAGGAGATGAAGCCATCTCTGAGCTCTCACCTGTGCCGATGCTCGTCATGACCTCCCACGCCATGTATGACCTGTCTGCTGCTGTGCCTTGCCTCCTTCTCTGACTCGATGTGCGGTATCAACACGTCCTCCAAACCAAAGTCAAAGCGCTTGTGTTTGGAATTGTCTGGAAGGAAGAAAAATGCTCCGAAGCACAAGGTAATGAAGGCACTGAGGATGAGGAGGAGGATGAACTTCTCTGATAGCCGTAAGGTGGCCCTGTGATGGGGGAATGAGGAGGCACCTGGCGAGAGGGTAGGTATCCTACGTCCCGATAATGGCAATAGAGCTGGCGTGGTCATATTTTGATGATGAACTGAAATATGGTGGGATAAGTGTCAAGGTCGTTTTTGTGTAAGCCCCACTATCTCATTGCGGAGCTTTACTGCCAAATGTCTGCTTATCTCTTAGAAATTGAGTTGTCCTGTAGATCACAACTGTTTCCACTTGTTCTGAAAACAAAAAAGACATTTTCAGACACCGACTATCACGAGGCATTCAACAGAAGCTTGCCATTAAAAATGAACTTCAGTTTCCATGGCAATTATGTTAAACAGTAGAAAGAACATGAGTCTAAATTTTATTAGACAACAGGTAGCTCCAGTCCTCCAATATGATTCTCTGGGTCTAGTAGTCAATTTTAGCAGTTATTAGAAGTAAATTGGTCTAATATAATATACACTTTTCAAGTGGAGTTGGAAATACCCTAATTACAAGTTCCAAGCACACAAGTACAGATGATAAACGTGTCACCAAGTTGAGAGACATTGGAAGGGGCATGTCAATTTAAAACATGGTGGAAGCACAAATATCTATATACACACACAGTATCTCACAGAAGTGAGTACACCCCTCACATTTTTGTAAATATTTTATTATATCTTTTCATGTGACAACACTGAAGAAATGACACTTTGCTACAATGTAAAGTAGTGAGTGTACAGCTTGTATAACAGTGTAAATTTGCTGTCCCCTCAAAATAACTCAACACACAGCCATTAATGTCTAAACCGCTAGCCACAAAAGTGAGTACACCCCTAAGTGAAAATGTGCAAATTGGGCCCAAAGTGTCAATATTTTCCAGCACTGCCTTAACCCTCTTGGGCATGGAGTTCACCAGAGCTTCACAGGTTGCCATTGGAGTCCTCTTCCACTCCTCCATGACGACATCACGGAGCTGGTGGATGATAGAGACCTTGAGATGCTCAATAGGGTTTAGGTCTGGAGACATGCTTGGCCAATCCATCACCTTTACCCTCAGCTTCTTTAGCAAGGCAGTGGTCGTCTTGGAGGTATGTTTGGGGTCATTATCATGTTGGAATACTGCCCTGCGGTTCAGTCTCCGAAGGGAGAGGATCATGCTCTACTTCAGTATGTCACAGTACATGTTGGCATTCATGGTTCCCTCAATGAACTGTAGCTACCCAGTGCCGGCAGCACTCATGCAGACCCAGAACATGACACTCCCACCATCATGCTTGACTGTTGTCTTGGCCACCGTGCTGCAGCTCAGTTTCAGGGTCTTGGCAATCTTCTTATAGCCTACACCATCTTTACGTAGAGCAACAATTCTTTTTTTTTAAGATCCTCAGAGAGTTATTTGCCATGAAGTGCCATGTTGAACTTCCAGTGACCAGTATGAAAGAGTGAGAGCAATAACACCAAATTTAACACACCTGCGACCTTGTAACACTGAATCACATGACACCGGGGAGAGAAAATGGCTAATTGGGCCCAGTATGTATATATATATATATATATATATATATATATATAACTGCATTAACATTCAGTTGTCATACCATTCATGAATAAGTGAAAGATGTATTTATTTATACATCATAAGACGTAGTTATTTGGGTGTTTTGTTTCCAACTTGAATGTGTGGCATGTCACAAAAATGGAAGCCAGATTTGGAGGTTCCCAAGTGCACTTGAAGGCAGAAATAGATACCGCAAAAATAGTACGAGTGCTATGCAAATACTATACTACTTTGACACCACTTTGCTCTGAATGGTGTTCCTTATAGCACACGTACATCTCAGAGACATCTATTCGATGTGCATGTTTACATCTGGAAGACGTATTTTTTAAGAGCGTTTGCTCATATGAAATACGTCTATAGGATATTTCCTGTCAGACGTCAAATAGATGTTTAGAAAATGTCTTTAAGATGTTTAAGATTTAGAATGTATGTAAAACTGACATCTTGGAGATGTTTATCAGATGTTTGTACACAGCAGATGCTTTTCAGATGAAGCGATCTTTAACAGACATCTTGCAGATGTGCATGTGCTATCTGGGGTTTCTCTCACTAGCTAGCCAAAAATAGAAAACAGAGCTGGATTTCAGTGATTACAGTAGCTGTGTCTGAAATTGCATACGGTCTAGTAGGTGCTACAGTTGGTTTGAATGAAGGTTACATCGCAATTGTTAAAAAAGTATGTTCTATATAGCACGAATATGGGTAGTATGAATGAAATAGACACATTACATCCTCTACATTTTCAGTCACATGACCCACCAGCGACAGTTGTGTCACTTCACTGCCATTCACAACTCCTCTCCTGTGGCCTTATGGGATAGTAAAGTATTTATCTGATGCACAGTTTAGAAACTCACCGGAAGTAGTAGGTCATATGGGTCCTTTTCTTCTAATGTTTAATAAATACTATGAATTTGGGCATACTACTCCGTTCACATACTGCTTCTCACCTATTATATATGGAACCCAGATAGCACACGTACGTCTGCAAGACGTCTGATAAAGATCGCTTCATCTGGAAAGCATCTGCTGTGTACACACACATCTGATAAATGTCTCTAAGATGTCAGTTTTACACACATTCTAAATCAAAAACATCTTAACGACATCTTCTGAATGTTTATTTGGCATCTGATAGGAAACGTCCTATAGATGTATTGCATATGAGCAAACACTCTAAAAAATCTGTCTTGCAGATGCAAATGTAGATGTCAAATAGACGTCTCCATGATGTACGTGTGCTATCAGGCAACACAGGGAGAGGCTTTGAGCCAGGAGGGGAAATCTGTGTCGCTCCGTTCCACTAAAATACACTGATCCAGTCCGGCAGTACGTCTTTTTGCTTGATAACAGGCCTTGGTGTTCTGACTTATTTTGGTACTATTGTTTCATAGGTGGAAAATAAACATACTACTTGGTCAAATTTTGTATGAAACATTAGTTACTTGACATTAATTACTCTACACTGAAATATAAAAATAACCCTGCTAGTCTAATATTATACCTGCAGTATGGTGTAGCACTCCGGCTTGTGTGAATAATTGTAGGGATTGTAGGCTTTTTTCATACTATAACACCACCCATAAAAAAAAACATACATGGACTTTTGATTTAGCCTTACAAATGGTCTACATTTAAAGAGGATATTTATCAGGAGGACGTTCAAGTATTCGTTATGGCCCAAAACTATTTTAAATCTGGTTTATTTGATGGTTTTGTTTGGATTCGCCCTGGTAAACACAGGTAGACTAGAGTGAAATAAAATGCCATTATATCAAAACATGCACCAAAAAAAATACAGTTCGGCACAGACGGTCTATGAGACACTTTTAGCTGTGAGAATGTGACACCTGTACAAGTGTTTGCTCTTGATTACAGCGCCTCATCAAGCGGTTCATGCTCAAAACGCCGGTCTTATCTTTAACATCACGCAGTATTTTTCACATTTACATTGATGAAACTAATGTGTGCACACATACCGTGAGGGTCTTTTTATCATTCTGATCCATGAATCTCACTTTGATCCGAAAGCTTCTCTGGGGCAAGACGTTATCTTCACGAGTCCACCCTCACCGCCGGTTAGGCGTATTGTTTATCTTAAACTAGCAATACAATGATCGGTTATCGATAAGGGAAAACAGTTTGATAAGACAAAACAGTATCGCAACCTATGTAAACATAAAGAAAACTGGCCAGGCGGATAGTAAACACAATGTTACAGCACTAGGTGCTTTCGTTAAGCGTGTTAACGATAAAAGTTCCCGTCACATTTGCGCGCTTTCAACGGTAAATACCGCGATGCGCACACGGTGGTTCAGCACAGGCCTGATCCGCTTGATGCCGTGGCAGCGTCTCTGGAGGGCGATATCGAGAGCCGATTCAATAATGAAAGTTAACCACGGGTGTTTCCCAGCTGCTGGGTGATCCTCTCTACATACTGTCCAATTTTAATAAAAGATCAAGCCGGCCTGCGCTGGACGTGTGCTGCGCCTTTTTCCTCCAGTAAAGGCATTCAGCAGGCAGCCGTGTAGCGGACTGATCCCGTCCTGCCGCTGCTGCATCACCTTGTCGGTGCCTCGGGATAAAGCGGCGCCATAGAGCATAAATCCACAATTAATGCCTGAAAGTAGCCAAGTTCACGTTCATGCCCCTGCTTCTATACCCTAAAGCGTTTGAGATTACCACCGCCGCCTCCCTTTCGTCTTCGTTCCTCCTTTATTTCTGTAGCCGTGTGCGCCGCCAGGCTCCAATATCCAGGATGTTGTTACTGCAACAGCTACTCCTCCTCTCAGTCCTCCAACATCCAGTCAGCTGCCGTTTGGTAAAACCAGGGAGCGTCGCGCAAGTGCGAGTCTCGACAGGCAACGCAAAATGAATGGCGGTCAATTATGGACAGTAGAGACCAAAAAGCATCGTTAGAGGTTCCTAATATTATTGTACCTTTTTTCCCCTTTTTGTCTTTTTTATCGTTGTTTTTCTGTGTTTCTGTGTTTGTGCTTTCTTTACTCAATCTGTGCTCAATTTTACGTTTTTTTTTAAAATAGGCATTAGTTGTTTTGTTTAGATATCTGAACGGTTACTGTAGTTAACTAAAACTATATAGACTTATTTAAAAAAAATGATAAAATATGACAAAACATAATAAAAATAAGATTGACAAAAACACACAAATACAATTACTATAACTTTAAATAAAATTAAAATGAAAACTGAAACAAATTGAATTTAAAATAAAAACTATTGTAGTATATCAATGATACTAAAATAGCATTGCCTCACGTTAAACTTTTTGCAAAGAAAAAAGCTCATTTGACTGATTGATTGTATATATTACTTATAATGTCAAAAAGATCATGTTGTTTTACAACATTAATAAGAGGCCATTATTAATTGCAATCTTAGAAATGATTTACATACAATTAAATATATGTTAATTTTTGGTGAAGCAATCTTAAGGATGATTTGCATGTAATCAAATGTTAAACCTAAGATGACATCTTCTTAGGAATGATTTACTAAAATCAAATATACATTAAACTTCAGAGGACGCAGTCTTGGGGTTGAATTTAAAATAGTTTGCACTATATACATCATGGATCTATCAAAGGACATGTTCACATTGTGCTGAGCAGCCAAAAAAAAATAGATCAGCCTGTGACTTGGTCCTTGAGCTGCCAAAAGTGTAGTTCTTTTCTCTTGATTTAAGGATGATTTACCAGACTAACCTTCAGCGAGTGTCGGTGCTGTTGAAGGTTGTGGAGAAAAATCATGAATGTGTGAGTCATACTCAAGAAGCTAGTGGCCAAGGGAGTGGATCTGCTGTCAGTCAGTTTAAGAGGCACACATTTGACACCCTGACAGAAGTCACTGTCAGAAAGAAGGAGTTTCGCTCTGCTGAGTTTCTTACGTTTTCTGTGAGAATATGACACGGATCACCAGCCAAAAGAAGAATCGCCTTAAACCTCAGACCATATACAAGAAAAAAGAGAAAATAATTCACCATAAACCTCTGTGAAGGCGAAACGAGGACAAAGATACAGGAAAGAGAAAAGGGAACGGGTGATTGAAAGGTTTATCTGTTACTTTAAGAGCAGTAGAGGTGAGACCATCCTCCAGCGGGCCTGTATAATGAGTCAGGATGTGCTCCGAGCCTTTGAACTGAGGAATGGGGAACAATGACAGTTTAAACTCAGCAAGCAAATGAATGGGATACAGCTTCAACCTTGAGAAGTCCAGGCAAGGACGAGTTGATTGGCTCTAAGACGAAAGCATCTGTCAATTGCATATCCTGTCACCAATAAATGTAGATAAGGGTGACTGTATCTGACATTCCCGTTAATGAGGCGACACAGCACTCCAAAGAAAAGAGGGAGTGTGGGGGGCAAAACCCGTCTCAGTAACAGAAGTAGGCCTATACCCATGGAGAAATTTAGGTTAAACTAATTAAACAATAGTCTAAATATTATATTAATCAATCACATCTGAGCCTTATAAAATCAAGTAATAAAATTAGGTTAAGGCAGAACATATTTTAGTGAAAAAATTAAGCAGTATATATAATCAAAAGTGCTGTTGTTCCAAAAAAGTTCACAACAGCAGCCCAAATGTATCTTATTTTTTTTTATAGAACAGTTCATTAAACAAGAGGATAATATTACTTAGGTGTTGAACACAATATTGCCAGCCACTACTGTATCCGATAAAACAGCTCTAAACCAAGCCAAAATAGAACCAACCGTCGCACTTTTTCTGAGAACGAGTCCTTGAATGAATCAGCATTTTGAAACAAATTAGTTGAGTGGATGAATCAATGATCAGACATGCGATCAGTTAGAGACAAAAAAAAAAGCAGGAAAATCTGACCACGCCCCCGGCACTTATTATTATTATTTTTTTTATTATTTTATCACATTAAAATATATATCTTATATTGTAATAATACATACTACTGTCCTGTAAAAATGTAAATAAAAAACAGCATTTAATAATCATGATAATAATAAATAATATAATAAAAGTATTAATAGACTTGTTATTTAAGTACCTGCCAAAAGTTTGGAAACATTACAGTTATTAATGATTTTTAAATAAATCTCTTCTGCTCACCAAAGCTGCATTTATTTGATCAAAAATAAAGTAAAAACAGCAAAACTGTGAAATATTAAGTATTCTAGAGCAGGGGTTTTCAAACCTTTCCTGGAGGACCCCCAGCCCTGCACATTTTGTATGTCTCCCTTATCAGACACAGCCATTCAGGTCTTGCAGTCTCTACTAACGAGCTGATGAGTTGAATCAGGTGTGTTAAACGAGGGTGACATACAAAATGAGCAGGGCTGGGGGTCCTTGCTGAAAAACTAAAACAAAAAACAGCTAAAACCAGCCTAAGCTGGCCTAATTTGGCCTAGCCTGGCTAGACTGGTCAAATTGGTTTTAGCTGGTTGTTCCAGATCAGTGGTCACCAACGTGGTGCCCGTGGGCTCCTGGTCACCCGCATGGAGTCTCTGAGTCACCCGCCAAGCACATTCTATAATTAGCCTAAATTAGCTTTGGGCGATAAATTATATCATATTGAGATTATGATAAAAGTTATGTTAATAATGATGATAAGCTCTGGACATTGTTACTCAATATAGATTAATCTAACCTCCTATCACACAACAGAAATAAATGTTACAGCAACCAATAAGTCTGCATGTTCTGTGTGTCTGTGTGAATGCGAGGAGTAGTTTCATCTGATACACAAACTCAAACACACGTGACTCGCTGTGTTTTCAGCATCTGCGTCTCAATATAGGAGGACATGAACACATGCACTTCATCTTCAGAGCTGCTCTGAGAGTCACTTCACCAACTTTTTGCAGTTTCATTTGAGAAAAAGTACCGTCAAATACATGCTGAAACTAAAACTAAAACTGAAAGAACTTCAAAGACCAACCTGACCAGCTAAGGAAGTGGCCAAACCCCCTCTAAAACCAGCCTGTTGACCAGCTATGACCAGGCTGGATGACCAGCTAAAACTGGCTGGTTTTAGCAGTTTTTTTCTTTCAGCAGGACAGGTTTGAAAACTCCTGTTCTAGAGTCTTTGATTCTACTTGCATTCGGCGCTTTGAACCATTTGAACCCTTTTAACTGTCCTGCAGATGGCGCCGCGAGCTTGTGCAGCGCTCTCAGGACCATTCTGTCCATGATGTATTAGAAAACATAACCTTTTCGCACTTTATTTAGTTAATTCGCGATTTCAATCATCATGCAGTCACCTGAACTACACATTTTTTTCTTATTACAGATCAGCATGATTCACGTGGCCATGATTTTAGGCCGAAATAAACGGAATTCCGGATTAATCACGTCCCTGAATTCCTTCATAAACACAGTAACTTGTCGCCACCTACTGGTGTAACGATGTAACCTGCAGTTACTGAAACGCCTTACCACCATCAAAGGCTGCATCCGAAATGGCCCGCTGTAAGCTCGTTTACTATGAGCCTACTAACAGTCTACTAAGAAATGAATGAAAACTAGTTGCCGTTTTGTCCAGTAACAAAAATCTGTAATTAAATAAATAAATAGGCCTATTTTACTGATAAAATCGTCACAGTAGCGCTGAAAACACATTTCTGTGTGCGTGTATGTTTCCGTGTGTTTCTGTATGCGTGTGCATTTGTAAGGGAGAGAGAGCGGGAGAAATATGTGTTTTCCGTACATAATAAAACGTAATTTTGTAGGAAAAATATGGAAATAATGTTTCGTTTTTATACTATATTTATTTGCTTGGTCAGTGTCCTTGTGGGTTGTGTTTATTTTGCTGTTTTAGGCAGTAAGAACCTTTGAAATAACTGAAATCTTTTGGCGAAGTTATTTTAGGCAAGGGGAGGGGTGACGGTAGGCTAGTGCCCACAATGTTTTCCTCGCGTCTCAATGGGGGAAAGAAATGAACAGCTGTGCTGCATTTGTAATGAAACTGATAAAGGTATGATGTTGGCAGTTGTTGGGGGTTCTTTGTATGTGAGTGCTGCTGAGCTTCTTGCCGAGGCTGCCGTGCCAAGACGTGGGCTGGATGTTTATATGTCTTTGGTGTTTGCTGTGTAATGAACACGTGTATGGTGGGCACATGAATTAAAGGGATAGTTCACCCAAAAATGAAAATTCTGTCATTAATAATTACTCACCCTCATGTCGTTCCAAACCCATAAGACCTTCGTTCATCTTCGGAACACAAATTAAGATATTTTGATGGAATCTGAGAGCTCTCGGACCCTGCATAGACCGCAACGCAACTGAAATGTTTAATGACAGAATTAATGACAGAATTTTCATTTTTGGGTGAACTAACGCTTTAATGAGTATATAGGCTAGTAGCCTAACCTTTGAAAGCCTCTGCTGAATATTTCTCTGCTCATTAATTGCTCATTTGTCCAGGGTGATTTGTGAATTGTCACTATGTTCAAATACATTATTAATTTAAATGCATATGTGATGACCATAACCTGTTGCTTTGTCCACTCAAGGTTTTAATATTTGTATCACTGTGTAAGAATTAAAGCCATATTTGCATTTATTAATGTTGTGTTCTTGAGAGTTTCCTTGGCTATTGAGGCCCAAATAAATGATCTTGTCCAGTCAGGAATCTTTTGGTATCCCCTTTAATTGTTTTGGGAGTGTTACAAAGTGATGGACATGTAATGCGGTCAAGACCTGCTTGGAACTACTTTAGCCGCGCGTTTCCCCAATCAGATTCAAGCATTCAACAGCCCCGTAGTATAATAGATTTTAAAGGATCTACGCCTGTATGAGTCTGCTGTTGGTGCCAT